TGGATAAAAAGAGACCAACTAAGACTTCTTTCCTTTTCCTCTGCAAAGAAGTTGTGTGAAACTAAACTACCTATTTACAAAAAATAGATTTATATGAAAAACTATAGTAAAAAGCTGAACTGACTGAAGAAAATTAAACAATAAGAAGAAAATGAAGTCTTTTCCCTTTAAAGTGGGCTCTCTGAAGAGTGAGGGCTTGCTTTGTCACTAAAGTAACATCTGCAGATTGTTTCAGTGATGGAATTCTTTTCGGCTCATTTTAAAAGAGCTTATTGATAGACCTTGGTAATGCTGCTTCCAAAGTAATGTAACAGCAATTGCATGCAGTTGATACAACTTGATATATTTTTTTCTGAGATCCCTTCCTTGTCCTCTTGATTTTTCCTAGGCAATGTGACCCATGATTGTTGCCAGCAAACTGGGTCCAAATATTCTGACCTAAATATAACTTCCTTCATCGACTGAATTATATATATCTAATAATGAGGAAGTAGTCATGTGTTTGATATTGAGTTTTATACTTTTGTTACAGTTCCTACTTCTGACTGTAGTGTCATAGCTGGTTTGAACTCTGTAAAACAAGGAGTTCTTCCTGACCCATAAATGAATAAATGCCTCCTTCAAGATTTATCCTTTAAAAATAGTTATTGGGAAAAATTAAAGTGAGAATGTCAGTCCAATAAAGGCTGCAGTGGAAGGAAACTTACAGTAAGTATTACTGGCTCTCTGAAACAGTGTATTTGGCAAATTAGAGGTTTTGGTTTTCTTTAAAAACTTGAGTCTAGTAAGACTAAAACAGTACAGTGCTGCGTGTGAAAGGGAAATAACTATCAGTTGTGAAATATCTTTGGAGTGTTTAGTTACCATTCACAGCCACGGAATACATTATATTTTATTATAAACTTCCTTCCTTAGAGAAGTATAAATCTTGCAAGCGTGCCAATATTTGGCAAAGTAAATAGTCTCTGGAGACAAAAAATGTTTAGGACCATCTATCAAGTGTAAGAAGTTGATAGCAATTAAAATCAGAGCTGTTTATGTATAAACATAAATTGCAGAGCTAGCTCAAAACTGGCCAGTAAAAATCTTGCCTGGGTGGAAATTCCAATTGCAAAAGACTGCAAAAAGCAACATCTGAATTTTAAGAACTGTTTTTGTAGGATACTCTTCTTTCCTTAGGGACAATTTTTTCTATGTGAATTTATGGCATTAACGGAAATCCATTTGTTTGTTTATTTTCACATTCTAGCATTCGTTAACAAATCCCCAGGTAAAAATAAGAAATCTTAGATAAAATATCACTTGTATTATATCAGCACTAAACTGGATTATATTTCAGTGCTCTTTTTTCCTCCAAAGAGATACATAGAGGGATGGGGAAAAATTTTACATTAATTAATGTTGTAATCATTGTGGTGAACATTTTCATAAGGGGATGCATTTACATCTTTTGAATTATTGTGTGTTGAAATGTAATTTTAATTGTGTCTTCTTAATATGTGAATCCTTAAGGAAATGGATGACTGTAGGCAGCCTACACGATATTACTGTATTTCAGTACAGTTACAGTACTCAGAACTTGAGCAAACAGAAAGCCTAGAGAAAGAGAAAGGGGGTGTCCTTCTGTCCAGAATAGGAAATGGGCTAATCTGCTAATCCCAGCTACTGGCTACCTTGTTGCCAGTCTGAAAGGAATTTGTTGGACTTGCTCCAGGTAGGCTGCAAGAGAGACTGAACGCTAAACAGAGCATAATGCACAATGTTTATTTGAAATTAATGATGCTTGCGTGCCTTCAAGCTGCATTTTAATATTTAAATTGCTGGAAATGTAAATTATTAAAATAAAATGTCCATGAATTGTCACCCCCAATCTTCCAAGTTATAATGTTAGAAAATGAGAGGGAGAGAGTGCCTCAGTTAGCTAAATAAAGGGAAAGATGTCCCCTTCTCATGTTGAATTTCTTCCACCCAAGGAATCCTCTTTTCCCTCCTGTTCAGTCGCGGCAAAGATATCTCAGAGGGGAAAATCTTCAAATGGGATCCAAGTGAGGAGCTGATATTTGCCTGAGGGATTTTGGTGTTCCAGGCATTCACATGTGTAAGTAAGTGGATTAATTTTGGCATTAGAGAGGAAAGAAATATCCATGCTGGGAGTTTCTTCTCATCTTCCTTACCTCTAGAGGAAGATCAAGCCTGTGTCTATTTCTACACCTCCTTCAGAACAATGGAAGAAAAGATGCTGCCAACTGGCCAGAGGAAAAGCGAGACTGTCACAGCGTTCCTGCTCCGTGCACACCCAGCGAGCGTCTTGTCTCCCTGGGAGCTGCTCCAGGAACAGGGGTTATTTTGATGTTCTTTTAAGAAATGAAACCCTAACACAGGAAACATGGTGGAGTATCAGTTCACCATATGACTTCAGTATTTTGGGGCAAACAGGGAGGCTGAAATTGGAGAGTTTTCCGTGAGGTTTTTGTTCATTGGCTCTACCCAATTTTTTGCAAAAATTACATGGTGAATTTTTGAATGCGTCTTATTACTGCAAACAGTTGCTATACCTTGGGTCTCTAACACCTTTGCAGAGCTCTCAGGGGAGAGAATAGTCTTGGTTCTCTGCCTTGACAAGGATCAAGGGCTACAAAAGGGTCCATTAGTAACAAAGGAGGTAAAGGGAAGCTGTAGGAAATAACAGAAGTAATCTGGTGTTTGTAAACTTATACTTTATCTTGTACTCTCTCCACTAAGAATTTGTGAGAATTTCAGAAAATAAGACATGAATAAATCAATAAGGGAACAACATCTGAACCACAATGCAGGCATTTATTGTCTCCTTGTGCATTAAATTACCCAATTAACATTTCCTGTTGCCTTAGCCTGTTCTAATAAGGCTTGACTGTCGCTTATCAGCCCCTAATCTTCTAAATGATGAGCAAGAACTGCAGCTGGATTTACAAGAGCCTTTGGGGCACAATACCAAACTCCCACAGCTCCAAAGATCCATCCTTGAAATTATGCTTATTAGGGGTTCTTGTTCATTACCATTTACTTCACACAGATATCTGCTAATAAGATCAGCTCAGCTTTGTTTATTAAAATAGATACGCTGGACAACCAATCTATGTGAATAATGCATTCCTCAAAAAATATGCTTTTTCTTGTATAAAAACGTCATTTCAGATACAAATATTCCTTGAGTTAACTGAGTCTGGTTTGTGGGCTTATTTTTCCTGAAAGAGTGACCTATAATTTGGAATGTATTTGAGTAAAAAACACGTTTCCGGAGTACCTGACAGTGATTTTTATGGGTTGTGTGCGTAAGTTAGCTAATTAGAATAACAAGGCTGGGCAAGAGTTGCTAGTAATGAGAAACTAAAAGGGATAAGTGATTTTTAATAGAAAATGGTAATATCTTCAGAATGATAAATATTTGCCAGTTCTGTGACAAAAAATAAATAAATCTATTCTAGTAAGGGATCCTGCTCATGAACTGTGAGGCTGGTGGGGGTGAGGAAGAGATTCATGTAGATAAAATGCTACCAAATTGCCTCTATACTGCCCTGTCAGACAACTATCGACCCCATCCCATGGGAGAAATTGATTTCCACGCAGCGAGCTATGTGCTTTCTGCAGTGTATTGCTTCAGTGCTATTGCTCTGCTAATCACACACTGCTGCCTCTTTTCCTTTCTCTGTCTCTTTTTTTGTTCTGGAAGATTGATTGAGAGACGTGAGGGATTTAGGTTACCATATTTGTTGTTATTTGACCTTTTCAATTATATTCTGTTAAAAATGTAAATACTTCATTTTTAGTAATGCACATGTGACTTTGCTTAAGCAGGCTGCAAGTAAGGCTTTCAGGAGGAAGTATTTACCTTTGTTCTCATACAGGCCTATATGAGCTGCTTTGGTTAAGTGACTTTAAATGCTGTTGAGGATGCTTCCTGCTTCAGTAAAGCTACTCAGGATACTTCTCAGCGTGACAAGATCTAAAGAAGGAAAAAATACCCCAAACTAGAAACACTGGAATAATGTAAGTGCTGAAAAGTGAAATGATACGCCATCAAGGATTGTTGCACTGGTTTGGATTGGTTTTTCTCTTTTTAAGCATAAACACCTTTTGTCAGCTCTCACTTTTGATAACTACTTTTTAACAATACAAAAGCACTTAAGGTTAAGAAATGCCAATGTTAAAGTGGAATCCCAGTCATAAATCTTCCCCTTATCCAGACAAATAAGAAAAAAGATCTTTAATTGTCATGAAATGGTCATGCACTGTTTCTCAGATAACACAGCAATAGCTTACAAAATTGTTTGGCTGATGAGTGCTTGACTTTTTGTAGTATTTTTTATTATTCTTACTTACTTTCGTTGTTAAAACTCACTCTAAGCACCATCAGTGTTAAAACAGGTGTTTGAATGTTTGCCTGTGGGAATCTAGCTCCTTGCTGTTAGCTGACAGCTTACCATGACATTTATACGCAGGGGAATCTCTGAAAGGGAAACAGCTATGATAGACCTTCTTACTCAACCCCATCCCAATGGTAAGGGCACAGAAGGCAATAAAGATCTGCTGGTAGATCACAGCTTTATTTCACAGTCTGCTGGGACTCCTTGGGAGACAAGTGTAGGACAGCTTAGTTAGAGCCACATACCAGCCCAGCCTTGAAGGCAACGGATCCCAGTGAACTACAGAAGCCACCCTTGCAATATCCAGAGTTTGGATGCTTTTATTTTTATTATTCTGCATCAATGAGGTTGCAAAAGGAGGATGATCTGTAAAAATCAATAAAGACAGTTTGCAGTTTCTCCTTTGACTTGTACCTGCTCACATCCTTTAATCCATAGAAAGCAGATGTAAAATGCTGTCCATTGCTTAATGCTAACTCTGTAGTCCCTCCTTCGCGTGTAAAGAGATGGTAGAACTGGGGTAAATCAGCCACAAGAAGGGAACAACAAGTACCCTAGCTAGCAGTGCCCTTGAGCATGCAGCCAAGTTTTTTATGCTTAGTAGGGATTCTTATTCATTATCATTTATTTCACACAGATATCCACTAATACGATCAGCTCAGGATTTTTTTTTTTTATTAAAACAAATACACTGGACAACCAGTTTCCTGCAAGCATCCATCATTTTAACAGAATCCTTATTTGTGCATGGAAAGGCTTTTTCTTTCATGTCAACATCGGGGAGAGCAGAGAAGGGCAGAAACTGTCAGATGATGCCATTAGTGAGGGATGAACTGTTTGTGGAGCTTGCTTCTGGTCCAGTACTTTTTTCTTATTCAGCGCCTTCCTCCTTTGCCACCCATTGCTAAAGGTAAATATGAAGAACAATGTGAGAACAATTTTATCCTCTGACATAACTGCCTGTGCAAACTTTACTGCTTGTTGATTAGTGATTTAGTCTAAGCCTCTCATCACCTCCAAGTTGACCTCCATTTTCCTGGTGTGCTTTCCACTGTCCACCCTCTCCATCACTGTTTGCTTTTTTCCATCTTTCCTGTTGCTAACATACTTATTTCACGCATCCGGTCTGCCTCCTTCCCCGCACTTCCCCTCAACATCCTTCTGCAGGCCTTGTTCCTATGCAAATTCTTTACAAGAAAGCAAGCTAAGCTGTTTTAAAAAGCCACAAGACATGAGCTAGCAATTCCTGTCGGCTAGCCTGACCCCATTCTTATGCTTCATTATTTCCTCCTCCTTTATCTGTCTTGTATGTTTAAATATGAAGCTCTTGGTCTGGTTTTGAATTTGTGTTTAAACAGGGCCTTGTGCAGTGGAGCTCCCTGGGCCTTCTATTGCGCTCAGTATTTTATGACAAGACAATTATGTAAGGAATAACTAGCAGAAAACAGTAAAAAATAAGCAATGATTACTAAGCATTTTGCCCAGACATTTTTAAAATTTGCTCATGACAGATTTCCTGCAATCTGTTCATCGTTTTACATGCATCATCAGGATGATTTTCTTGACACATCAGCCTTCTTGTATTCCGTTTTACTACCATTGCTTTCACTTGTACAAGGCTAATGCTCTTTCTATCCCCTTCATGGTGTTAGTCTTCAAGTATCTACAGACAGTTGTACTTTAAACTGGGAAACCCATGATGTGAGGCTCTGAATATGTTCAGAGATAAATAGATTCCACACCACAGTGAGCTTCCAGGTGATTTCCAGGCTCTTAAAGCTTTTCACGTCTCTCTATTACGTTCAATCTCTCACTAACTACAAGAGACAGCTTAACCCAAATCAGATATTCATGTTCTATATTAAGGATTTTTTTCTGATAGCTTCTAAGGTTGCTACAAGCAATGGAGCTCGGAAGTCATAGTATGATTTCCCAGAAATTGTACAAATAAACTCTCAGAAGTCATTAGTTATTTCATCCTTATGAGCGGGACTTTCACTTACAGATGGACTGGACGGTGGAAGTTGTACTGCCCCTGGGAGTTGCACCTCCATGAGACCTGGCCTCCTGGGACATCATTGTGGAGGCCTTGGATCCACCAGAGATCCCGCTGCTGGTAAAACCTGTTGAATGGGTTGAGCCTCTGGCACCTAGAACAGTTACAGCAAAGATGTTAATATGTTTTCCTAACTGGAAGGAGCCTTAGTGAACGATCGGAACCTATCAGGTTTTAAAACATGCCAAGGAAAATCTGTTGAGAAGCTAAGAAACTGCTGATCGCTTGCCTTGCTCCATTAGTATGCTACTTTTTAGCTGCCACACTGCGGAGAAGACATTTACAATGTTTTGTAGATGTTCCCAGAACATAAAAAAAACTCCTAAAACTCTCAGACAAAGACTATTTTTGATGAATCTGGTTCTCCAAAATGGGCACAGTTTGCCTCTGCAGGAATTGCAGTTTTCTGAGGAGCTGCATGAGAACTGTGAAGCAAGCTCCTACAGCAACTAAGGACTGTTGCAGACCTCGCCACTTACTGTTCCAAGTGACAGATATGTTTCTTTGAGCTCACTTTCTATGCATAAATCCATGCATAATAGATACCTGTAGAATTCAAACACAGCATACTGCAGTAGCCAGTGGTCTAGTACATATGTACATACCTTTCCATCTCATTATAATATAAAACCCAAATAAAGAATTCTATTGAAAACACTTTCTTTTTAGGAGAAGACTAAAGCATTAGAAATGGCAAATGTTAGTCATATCGCTTAAAGCATTCCTGGAGGATGCTCAAATATTATGGCGATGAGCCTGCTATAACATCTTCCATGAAGTGATACTGAACAATATTCATGCCCTGCTGTAGCACCAGCCGCTCCTCCCTGCATGTTTGTCCTGGGGGAGGGGTTGCAGTCTGAAGGAAAAGGTTAAGAAGCTGCGTTTGAAGAGCAAGAGTTGCCAGTGAGCACCTGTGGAAATGAAATGAGACCCTTCTAGCTCTCATTCAGGTGAAGCATGCGTGGCAAGCTCTCCTGCTGCAGGGAGCCAAAACTCACACCTGTCCTGGCAGTATTACAGAGCTAGTGTTCTTCACGTGAGTAAAAGCTCTTTTGGAGTATCTCCTGTAGGCATGGCTAAGGTTTTCTTGAGTCACACAGATTTCTCTTCACCGGAAAAGTGATTTTCATAAAAGTGCATAGTTGATATAGGCATGGCAAGCATAAAACCAGTTGCTGTTAAATGTTTAGTCTGCTCCTCTGTCCTCTAAAGATTCTCGGCACAGGGAGGGATACAAGTCTTCATTCTTTCATTTTTAGGAACTGCAACGTCACGCTCTCTATCGAGGGCCACCACTGAAGAGCTTGTCTCTGGTTACCAGTGTGCTGCATGCTGCTCTACAACCGTTATCTGTAACAGAAGGCAGGACTGTGCAGCTGTCAGGACTCTAATATACAATTAGATTAATTAACTGGCAGATCTTGTGCACAGGGATCAGCACTGTTTATGTAGCGTGGTGCCTCAGAGTAGCTCTTTCTGCTTTTCACTCTCTTGGTCCTTCTTTTCTGACAGTCTCTCATATTCTGTCCCTCTGCTGGCAGCGTCCCTTAAGGCTGCCATCTTTCCTATCGCATTATCAATAAACATCATATTCAGTACCCTAAGTTCACTGACCAAATCATATGGAGTAAAAATTAAAAAGTATGTTACAGGAGTCACACGCAGCATCTCTCTAAATGACTCTTTTATCACTTATTCCCCACTGTGTTGAGAGCATCGCTCTACGAATAATACTGGCAGCAATATAAACCACATCTAAAGAATAACTTACTCCTTCTCAATCAAGCTTAACCCATTTTTTACTAAATAAAAGATGATACAAATCCTGGACAGCTCACCTGACCAAAACCTCATTTTTATGGTGGAAGTAGAAGATTTAGGTTCAGCTCCATCCCTCAGGAGATTTTTAGCTGCTTACTACAGAAGTAGTTGACCAGCTTCAACATGAGAGAGGACCTGAACGCAGCCTATAGTCTGCTGGTTAGCACACTCCTTCCACAGCAGAAGAGGGTGGAGAAGCCTTTGTCCAAGGTCAGCCTGCTAACTACTGTGCTGTGGGGTTAAACAGGATTAAGTGGGACAAACTTCTTCGTGGAGTTATGCATACTTAGAGGATGCCTGCTGAATCAGGTCCAACAGGCAGGATGGGCAGGGAGAATACCTGGTGCATGAACCCACAAGTGGCAGGCTGCTTAGAGCTGTCAGATCTGGGAGAGTTTTGTGTGTGAACAGAAAAGCATGCACCTACAGCTTAGCATATGCAAAAGCGAGCTAAGCCTAATTTTAGTACTTAGCCACATGCCGTGAAGGAAGTGTATATACTCCTGTTGTGAATTTAGCTCTTGGACTGCAGCTCATTTCCCTCTGTTACAGCCTTTGCATAAGGTTTTATGGGTTCTTTCTGTATGTGGATACATATGGGTGTGGGGATGGATACATACACACACACAAGCACATACAGAGCAAAGGAAACCTGGTACACAGAGCGTGTTCCTGTGTAAGTGTATCATTGCTTATTACTGCTTATCACTATTGATGTTTCCTAGAAAAGTGGAGAGAGAGCATAAACTTCAAATGAACACTGTCCCAAACACATGAATACCACTTACGTATGTGTACACTCATGCATATGTACATACACAAAAAACACCCTCAACAGCATCCCACTCATAGCGTGCAGTTAAACATGGGAATCTTGTCTTCAGCGCAATGCAAGAACATAGGACGGAAGAGATTACTTGGCAAGATTATTTCCAAGGGCAAAATTCCATTAGTCTCTACTCACTAAGCTACATTTTAGTTTCTTGCTTTTAAGGAAAAAAGAATTTGCTCATACCCATTTCTTGGAGCGTAGAAGTAGGACCTCGGGAAGGCACACCTCCCCCCATAGCTCTTGCTTCCTGGGACATCATTTTGGAAGCAAGCGAGCCTCCTGTGATCCCAGCAGAGGTGAAACCAGCATTGCGCACGTTCTGGTCAGACATTTCCTTGGCTGACGCTGTGGAGTGCAGCAGGCACACTGCTGGCTCAGCCAGGCTTTTTATACTGCTCAGCTAAGCAGCAAAGAAATGAAACTCAGCTGGGATCAGAAGGAAAACGAACCCGAAACCCAGGCTCACACAGGAAATGAAACTGAAACTTACGAACACGCTTTTTTATTACTGTTGTGAGAGTGGATCTTAGGCAAATCAGCTACTTGCTACTTAGGATACTAAAACAGATTAATAGTGTATGGATCATTAATTGGCCAGTGACATGGCTGAGAACTTTGCTTCTTCATCCTCTGCATTGCACCCTATTGCCAGGAATTACACCGGCAGGAGATGGTACCTGCCTTCAGCTGGCTATTCCCTGAAACTTCAGGGACAAGTGCTGTGGGCCGAGCTGTCTGTTGGATTAGCATGGACCACACCGGTCCGATCCAGAAAGGGGTCAGAAGAGTTCAGCTCTCCTCTCTCTATCCAGCTTTATGCTGCTGTAACGGTTCCAGGCCCCAAAGAAGATGGGGTGCCTTATGCTAAATTCTTTCACCCACCTAGGGTAAAAAACAATTTCTGCCTTTCTTCTTTGAAAGTATGTGTGTGTGTGCATGGTGGGGGGGGATGGACAGTGACAGCAAATCTACAAGGTAGTGTAAAAACTGGTACCATGCTATGACAAGCATTTTTAATAGCAAGTTGATTCATAAAATGTAGGTAGGCATGCATCACACTCCGAATGCAATCCTGATGATAGTGCCACAGGCTGATGAGAGCGGCTTAATACCTTTCTTCACCAAGCTTCCCTAGCCCTTTGTTATTTTCTCCCCCACCTGCTTTGCCCAAGCTTGGCAGTCTGACTTTCTGGGGAGTCTCGGTAGTCCAGTTAGACAAAAAGTGTATTTTTGGTGCCAGTTAGCATTTTGAATGAAGGTTTTTAAAAACAAATATTCTAACCAACAACATTAAAATGAGGTATTTATTCATTTTGAGAATTAATACAACTCTGAATAAAGAAAATAGACAAAAAGGTAGCAAGGTGGTAGTAATGCAGAAACTTTGAGTTTATTTTAGTACCCAGAGATCAAAGGTGATGCAACTACTCCACAATAAATCGTTAGCAGAGAGCTGCAAATCAGCACTCAATTAACAATGGATGCGTGAAATTAATTTCCTGATAGAAAGGACTGTTAGGGGCCTTTGTGTCATAGAAGCAGATCGACACAGCTATCTGGTTCTTCCTCTTGCAAATCCTGTCGAAGCACAGCCTCCGTCCTTAATGAATAGGCCTTTGCAAATGGCACATACTCCTTTATTGCACAGTCTTTCCTTAGCCTGTAGTTTCAAGATGACTCTTTCCAAATCCATGAGTCTCCTCCCCTAGGTAAAGAGAACTGTCTGATTAGGTCAAACTAGCACAGGGATGGCTCTCAGGGTGAAAATAGAGAAGCTAAAGATACAGCGTTCTCACAGTTGTACAATGTCTGTATTTGGTGCATGGTAGGGTACAGAACAAAACATATGAAGTCTGTTCCTCTGTGCCTGCATTTGGGCCCATGTGGTGTTTACCTGAGCAGTGGGATATTTGATCTAAGAAAAACATACCCCTAAGCAGTACTGCTCCTTTTTCTTTGAACTCTTTTAATTTTTATATGATGTCTGCTATTTTTTTTTCTCTAGTCTGCTTGCATTAGGGCTTCTGCCATTAGGATGCATCTGTTTTCCCATAATTTCTCAAGTCTCTTGTTTATCATTTTGAATTGTTTGATGTTGTAAAGTACCTAAAGTTACAGCTTAAATGCAAGTAAAATTCCATGTAAGAATAGGATAATTAATGATGTAGGGCATCTTCAAAGCGACAATAAAACAAAAATGTCACTTTCTTGGCAGGTACTGCTATAGATCCTTCCTTCAGAACTGCTAAAATTTTTGGTGCTTTGTTAATATCATTTATTTAATATTCCTAACATCTCCTCAGGGAATGATGGGAAAGTCTAGCAAAGCAATGGGGAATTAAGGCTTCATAAAGTTGTATCATATGAGATGAACTTTTACCCTGTCTTAAAACACAACAATTCATAATAAATACACACAAAGTTGTTCAACTAAATGCAACAGAAATAAGACTGCTGTTAAATTTGTCCCTACAAATCACGCTTTGAAGCTTGTGCCGTGTTTTCTCATGTTCAGTGTTTTAGTGGTCTATTTGCTAAAAACAAATTTGATGTCATTTATTTATATGACTGGGCCCCCACTTAAGCAGCAGATGTGAATAAGAGACTGGTTTTAGAAACTGTTGGAGAGAACCCAGTGTACATGTTTCTTCCGAGAACTCTCACTCGCTCACTCACTCGCTTCCCCCCTTTTTGTTCAGTTGGAAAGCTTTGCTTTTCATCTTAAATTATTGCCAAGCCCATTTTTGAAATGAGGATGTGCTAAACTACAAAACTGGAATGTGGAACATGCTTTGCAGATTTAGGAATGATGAATCTACATAGTTACCTCCTGCTTTCTTGATGGATTTCTCTCCTTTCCTGATGTTGTGGTTAGTTTGACAATCTAAGCATTGTGAATGCTCTGCCTACTCTAGGGAGAAACACGCTGGGGAGGAGAAGCTCACATTCAGGTATGGGTGAAGTTTTGCTGCTCATGATGGAGGCCCTTGTACTTTCCCGGCAATGCGGATGTGTTCATGGATAGTCATTGTACCTTCTTCAGGAGTGTTAAAGGGATGCTGAATCAGGTGGGTGTCGAGACCCAGCAGGTTGTCCTTCCCAGTTTGCTAGAGCCAGGCTGCTGGCCTGCTGCCCTTAGCTCCTACCCCTAGTGAGTCTGAGCAGCTAGGCATGGCTGACCACCAGCAGATCAAGACAAACACCTAGAGCCTTTACAGGCACCACATACACACAAAGAGCATTCAGCTTCTCTTTTAGGGGAGCATCTGTCACCGAAACCTGCCCTTATAATGAAAACGTTGCTCAGGATCTCATTATAATCCACTGCCTTTCCTCACTGATTTTTCCAATAAGGTAGCAAAGAGTGAGCTGGCTGGAATAGTCCCAAAGTGATGGGCTGTCATTATGGGCTGACTGAACAGGAATAGTCCCATTCAGCTGCATGAATTCTAGGTTATATGTCCTGATTTCCTCAATATGGCCAGAAATCCAGAGGCTAAAACTCTTAGGCAGTATTTGTGATCTACAGCAGAACTGTTTACTCATTCACCTAGCCATAAGCAGAAACACTGTCTTACGTGTGTTCTCTTAAAAGAGCTTTGAGTGGGCAGCCAACAGGAAGGCTGCTTATGAATGGTCCTGGTTGCAGAGTCCTATCAATCAGGCTGGACCCTGGGGCCATGAACCTGGAGCCTGGAGCGTGTCTTTTCTGGGGAGTGTGGCTTGTTGGTATAGGTGTCTGTTTCATGCTTTGCGTGTGAAAATTTCTAGGTTCAAACCCCTGACGTTTTGTTTGTTCACTGCGTGCAGCTGGGAAAAACTTCTGGGCTGCAGAGGAGGAAGGGAAATTGACCTTGAAACAGGAATGGAAAATCCTGGGAAGAGTAGAGATCTGGTACCCACTGACATTACAGGTAGCCAGTCTAATGACTAGCCATCACTGAGCAGGACGCTTGTGTATTGCAGTCACTTATCTTTTCCTACCTTTGGTGTTTGCGTGGCGCTATGATGAACTAGTTAAGTAACTAGCAAAAAAATTAGTGCTACAAAGAAAAAAATTATTTCTTTACCTAATTTTGCCTCTGAAGCAGCTCAGTGAGGACTCAAAGAGATACCAGTACTGGTGGGAGGGAGAAGGAAGAGACCTGAGCGGAAGAGGGGCCAAGGCCTCTGATTCAGCTATCAGTTATGTGAAATAACACCCCTCGGCTCTTTTTCTGTTTTCACAGCTGCTAGAAATTATCTGGCATGCATTCCCTCCCTTTTGCTGGCATTTGCATTTATGCGCCTGAACAGGAAGGAGGTTGAAAAACTGACCGAGAGAAAAACTCATGGTTTTGTTGTGGTTCTGGCAGACTTACTTGATTCATCTTATGCAGAGATTTTTCATATATGATTTCCATGTGTGGTTCTTGTGGAGGAGGTAGGAACAACTGAATGGCAAGATGACACCCCATTAGCTTACATGAGTCAGGGCCTTGTGGGCACTGTGTGGTCTTAATGGTCCTATCAAGCCTCAGCTGGGGCCTGCACCCACAGCCTCTGCCCAGGGGCTTCATTTCAGTTCAGTGCAGGGCTTTCAGTCCCTGCTTGAGCTATGTTGTAGGTGTGCTTGTCTCCAGCTCCATCACAGCCATGCCTGTGCTTGGCTATGGACCTCACTGATCTTTGACCTATGCACCGTCTTCTCAGCTTGAGCTCAGACCTGCCTTGTTACGATGGACTTGCCCAGCAGTCACTAGACCTGATCTGGATTTTCTGACTTGTGTTTCTGGCTTGACCTCAGACCTGTCTCATTGCCATGAACTTGCAAGATGATTTGGACTCTCACTTGAACCTGGCTACCAACTCAGAGTCTGCCCTGACTGCCTTGCTGAGTGGTGGGACAGGGCCTTGGCTCACCCTGACAACATGTAACATGGATAATGTTGTCCCAGGAAAAATGTTGTCCCTGTCTCCAGGTAAAAAAGATCCAGTGTCACTGCTGAAGTGGGACTGGGATCAACAACAACTTGGTACCTGAGCCTGTAACTTCCAGGGACCCTCTCCCTCCATCTGTCCATCCAAAAAGATGCGCTGCTTCTCTTACCCGCTGGCTTTGTGTGAGACATGTTGTCTTTAACGCTCCCCCACCTGTTTTGCTTTGTTTTACTGGCATTTCTGTTTACAAAGAGTAACTTCCAAAATGTTCGACAAGCGTATTTGATGTCTGGCTGAGTTTGCAGGAAGGCTGGCACAGAAGCACGAAGACAGTTGTACATCTCTGTGGACCGTTAGCCAAAAATTCAAGCAATGATAATTTGAGAGATGGACTGATATAACTCCTTGTTGAAGTATGAAATGAAAGAGAAAATAACTCATTTACCTCACTGAACCTGACA